AGGGCCTAGCCGGTGCGAAATAGCAAGAACAAGGGCCTAGCGAGTGCAAAATTGCAAGAACAAGGGCCTAGCGTGTGCAAAATTGCAAGAACAAGGACCTAGCGTGTGCAAAATCGCAAGAACAAGAGCCTAGCGTGTGCAAAATTGCAAGAAAAAGGGCCTAGCGTGTGCAAAATTGCAAGAACAAGGGCCTAGCGTGTGCAAAATTGCAAGAACAAGGGCCTAGCGTGTGCAAAATAGCAAGAACAAGGGCCTAGCGAGTGCAAAATAGCAAGAACAAGGGCCTAGCCTGTGCAAAATAGCAAGAACAAGGGCATAGCGTGTGCAAAATTGCAAGAACAAGGGCCTAGCGAGTGCAAAATTGCAAGAACAAGGGCCTAGCGTGTGCAAAATAGCAAGAACAAGGGCCTAGCGTGTGCAAAATAGCAAGAACAAGGGCCTAGCGTGTGCAAAATTGCAAGAACAAGGGCCTAGCGAGTGCAAAATTGCAAGAACAAGGGCCTAGCGAGTGCAAAATAGCAAGAACAAGGGCATAGCGTGTGCAAAATAGCAAGAACAATGGCGTAGCGTGTGCAAAATCGCAAGAACAAGGGCGTAGCGTGTGCAAAATTGCAAGAACAAGGGCGTAGCGTGTGCAAAATTGCAAGAACAAGGGCGTAGCGTGTGCAAAATAGCAAGAACAAGGGCCTAGCGAGTGCAAAATAGCAAGAACAAGGGCCTAGCCTGTGCAAAATAGCAAGAACAAGGGCGTAGCGTGTGCAAAATTGCAAGAACAAGGGCCTAGCGAGTGCAAAATTGCAAGAACAAGGGCCTAGCGTGTACAAAATAGCAAGAACAAGGGCCTAGCGTGTGCAAAATAGCAAGAACAAGGGCCTAGTGTGTGCAAAATTGCAAGAACAAGGGCCTAGCGAGTGCAAAATAGCAAGAACAAGGGCCTAGCGTGTGCAAAATAGCAAGAACAAAGGTCTAGCGTGTGCAAAATAGCAAGAACAAGGGCGTAGCGTGTGCAAAATTGCACGAACAAGGGCGTAGCGTGTGCAAAATTGCAAGAACAAGGGCGTAGCGTGTGCAAAATCGCAAGAACAAGGGCCTAGCGTGTGCAAAATTGCAAACAACAAGGGCCTAGTGTGTGCAAAATTGCAAGAACAAGGGCCTAGCGAGTGCAAAATTGCAAGAACAAGGGCCTAGCGAGTGCAAAATAGCAAGAACAAGGGCATAGCGTGTCCAAAATAGCAAGAACAATGGCGTAGCGTGTGCAAAATCGCAAGAACAAGGGCGTAGCGTGTGCAAAATTGCAAGAACAAGGGCGTAGCGTGTGCAAAATTGCAAGAACAAGGGCGTAGCGTGTGCAAAATAGCAAGAACAAGGGCCTAGCGAGTGCAAAATAGCAAGAACAAGGGCCTAGCCTGTGCAAAATAGCAAGAACAAGGGCGTAGCGTGTGCAAAATTGCAAGAACAAGGGCCTAGCGAGTGCAAAATTGCAAGAACAAGGGCCTAGCGTGTACAAAATAGCAAGAACAAGGGCCTAGCGTGTGCAAAATAGCAAGAACAAGGGCCTAGTGTGTGCAAAATTGCAAGAACAAGGGCCTAGCGAGTGCAAAATAGCAAGAACAAGGGCCTAGCGTGTGCAAAATAGCAAGAACAAGGGCCTAGCGAGTGCAAAATAGCAAGAACAAGGGCCTAGCCTGTGCAAAATAGCAAGAACAAGGGCGTAGCGTGTGCAAAATTGCAAGAACAAGGGCCTAGCGAGTGCAAAATTGCAAGAACAAGGGCCTAGCGTGTGCAAAATAGCAAGAACAAGGGCCTAGCGTGTGCAAAATAGCAAGAACAAGGGCCTAGCGTGTGCAAAATTGCAAGAACAAGGGCCTAGCGAGTGCAAAATAGCAAGAACAAGGGCCTAGCGTGTGCAAAATAGCAAGAACAAGGGCCTAGCGAGTGCAAAATTGCAAGAACAAGGGCCTAGCGTGTGCAAATTTGCAAGAACAAGGGCCTAGCGTGTGCAAAATAGCAAGAACAAGGGCCTAGCGTGTGCAAAATAGCAAGAACAAGGTCCTAGCGTGTGCAAAATAGCAAGAACAAGGGCCTAGCGTGTGCAAAATTGCAAGAACAAGGGCCTAGCGAGTGCAAAATAGCAAGAACAAGGGCCTAGCGTGTGCAAAATAGCAAGAACAAGGGTCTAGCGTGTGCAAAATAGCAAGAACAAGGGCGTAGCGTGTGCAAAATTGCACGAACAAGGGCGTAGCGTGTGCAAAATTGCAAGAACAAGGGCGTAGCGTGTGCAAAATCGCAAGAACAAGGGCCTAGCGTGTGCAAAATTGCAAACAACAAGGGCCTAGTGTGTGCAAAATTGCAAGAACAAGGGCCTAGCGAGTGCAAAATTGCAAGAACAAGGGCCTAGCGAGTGCAAAATAGCAAGAACAAGGGCATAGCGTGTGCAAAATAGCAAGAACAATGGCGTAGCGTGTGCAAAATCGCAAGAACAAGGGCGTAGCGTGTGCAAAATTGCAAGAACAAGGGCGTAGCGTGTGCAAAATTGCAAGAACAAGGGCGTAGCGTGTGCAAAATAGCAAGAACAAGGGCCTAGCGAGTGCAAAATAGCAAGAACAAGGGCCTAGCCTGTGCAAAATAGCAAGAACAAGGGCGTAGCGTGTGCAAAATTGCAAGAACAAGGGCCTAGCGAGTGCAAAATTGCAAGAACAAGGGCCTAGCGTGTACAAAATAGCAAGAACAAGGGCCTAGCGTGTGCAAAATAGCAAGAACAAGGGCCTAGTGTGTGCAAAATTGCAAGAACAAGGGCCTAGCGAGTGCAAAATAGCAAGAACAAGGGCCTAGCGTGTGCAAAATAGCAAGAACAAGGGCCTAGCGTGTGCAAAATTGCAAGAACAAGGGCCTAGCGTGTGCAAAATTGCAAGAACAAGGGCCTAGCGAGTGCAAAATCGCAAGAACAAGGGCCTAGCGTGTGCAAAATTGCAAGAACAAGGGCCTAGCGAGTGCAAAATTGCAAGAACAAGGGCCTAGCGAGTGCAAAATAGCAAGAACAAGGGCCTAGCGAGTGCAAAATTGCAATAACAAGGGCCTAGCGAGTGCAAAATTGCAAGAACAAGGGCCTAGCGTGTGCAAAAGAGCAAGAACAAGGGCCTAGCCTGTGCGAAATAGCAAGAACAAGGGCCTAGCGAGTGCAAAATTGCAAGAACAAGGGCCTAGCGTGTGCAAAATTGCAAGAACAAGGACCTAGCGTGTGCAAAATCGCAAGAACAAGAGCCTAGCGTGTGCAAAATTGCAAGAACAAGGGCCTAGCGTGTGCAAAATTGCAAGAACAAGGGCCTAGCGTGTGCAAAATTGCAAGAACAAGGGCCTAGCGTGTGCAAAATTGCAAGAACAAGGGCCTAGCGAGTGCAAAAATGCAAGAACAATGGCCTAGCTAGTGCAAAATTGCAAGAACAAGGGCGTAGCGTGTGCAAAATCGCAAGAACAAAGGCCTACCATGTGCAAAATTGCAAGAACAAGGGCCTAGCGTGTATAAAATTGCAAGAACAAGGGCCTAGCGAGTGCAAAATAGCAAGAACAAGGGCCTATGGTGTGCAAAATAGCAAGAACAAGGGCCTAGCGTGTGCAAAATTGCAAGAACAAGGGCCTAGCGAGTGCAAAATACCAAGAACACGGGCCTAGCGAGTGCAAAATTGCAATAACAAGGGCCTAGCGAGTGCAAAATTGCAAGAACAAGGGCGTAGCGTGTGCAAAATTGCAAGAAACAGGAGGGGCCGACGTTGACCTTGACGCAGGACGCCGAGCAGTTGGGCGTCGAGTAGCGGGGCGTCAACTTCGTGACGCTAGCTTTGGGTGGCCGACGTGGGTGGTCGGCCGACGATTGTGCTGGTCGACGAGGAGCAGGTCAACCAGGAGTGCTGGTCGACGTGGAGCTGGTCGACCAGAGAGGACGTCGACCTGAAGGAGGTCGACCGATGGTGACGTCGACCTGGAGGAGGTCGACGTGGAGGTGGTCGTCGACTTGGGAGGTCGACGGACACGAACGGGAGCTGCTGGTCGACGTGGTTGCCTGGTCGACCAGGTTACCTGGGTGACGAAGTGCTGCGGAGGAGTGCGACGGACGCCTAGGCAAAGTTGGCGAGCCCGACCTCGGTGGTGGTATCCCGAGGTCGACGTGGCCGATCAGAGGCAGTCGTCTGCTCGAGGATGACGTGGTGTGTGCGCTGTGCAGGTGACGAGACTCTGCACGCCAATCATCTGCACGCAACTGCGAAGCAGGGTGCACTGCTGTCCTGCGTGAGCAACGCTGTCACGCCGTCAACCTGCGACGTTGGCACGCCGTCGACCTTGCCTTGCTGGAGTGCGGTCGACCAAGTCGTGCTGGAACGCGGTCGACCAAGCTGCGCTGGCAGTTGGCCGACCTGAATGCTTGCTCTGATGTAGTCTTGCTAGGCCAACTTCATTGTATCATTGTTGTCATGTTTTCCTAGTGAAACTCTTGCAAATTCTCCCCGTGAACTAGCAAGGAGCGTGAACACAAGGAAACGACTAAGTGAAAGAACGCAGAGATCACACGAGCACACGTGCCTAGCCCGTAGACTAGCTCCCGTTGCTGCAGTTATCTCCGCACCCCATTCTCCCGCTTTCCATCACCCCGCCCCATTCTCCCGCTTTCCATCACCCCGCCCCATTCTCCCGCTTTCCATCACCCCACCCCATTCTACCGCATTCCATCACCCCGCCCCATTCTGCCGCCTTCCATCACCCCGCCCCATTCTCCCGCTTTCCATCACCCCGCCCCATTCTCCCGCATTCCATCACCCCGCCCCATTTTCCCGCTTTCCATCACTCCGCCCCATTCTCCCGCTTTCCATCACCCCGCCCCATTCTCCCGCTTTCCATCACCTTGACCCATACTCCCTCTTTCCATCACCCCGCCCCATTCTCCCTCCTTCCATCACCCCGCCCCATTCTCCCTCCTTCCATCACCCCGCCCCAATCTCCCGCTTTTCATGACCCCGCCCCGTTCTCCGCTTTCCATCTCCCAGCCCCATTCTCCCGCTTTCCATCACTCCGCCCCAATCTCCCGCTTTCCATCACCCCGCCCCATTCTCCCGCTTTCCATCACCCCGCCCCATTCTCCCTCCTTCCATCGCCCCGCCCCATTCTCCCTCCTTCCATCACCCCGACCCATTCTCCCGCTTTCCAACCCCCGCTCCATTCTCCCACTTTCTATCACCCCGCCCCGTTCTCCCGCTTTCTATCACCCCGCCCCCTTCTCCCGCTTTCCATCACCCGCCCCATTCTCCCGCTTTCCATCATTCCGCCCCCTTCTCCCGCTTTCCATCACCCCGCCCCATTCTCTCGCTTTCTATCACCCCGCCCCATTCTCCCGCTTTCCATCACCCCGCCCCATTCTCCCGCTTTCCATCACCCCGCCCCAGTCTCCCGCTTTCCATCACCCCTCCTCGTTCTCCCGCTTTCCATCACCCCGCCCCGTTCTCCCGCTTTCCATCACCCCGCCCCGTTCTCCCGCTTTCCATCACCCCGCCTCGTTCTCCCGCTTTCCATCACCCCGCCCCATTCTCCCTCCTTCCATCACCCCGCCCATTCTCCCTCTTTCCATCACCCCGCCCCATTCTCCCTCCTTCCATCACCCCGCGCCCTTCTCCCGCTTTCCATCACCCCGTGCCCTTCTCCCTCTTTCCATCACCCCACCACATTCTCCCGCTTTCCATCACCCCGCCTCATTATCCCGCTTTCCATCACCCCACCCGATTCTCTCTCCTTCTATCACCCCGCCCAATTCTCCCTCTTCCATCACCCCGCCCCATTCTCCCGCTTTCCATCACCCCGCCCCATTCTCCCGCTTTTCATCACCCCGCCCCATTCTCCCGCTTTTCATCACCCCGCCCCATTCTCCCGCTTTCCGTCACCCCGCCCCATTCTCTCGCTTTCTATCACCCCGCCCCATTCTTCCTCTTTCCGCCGCTCCGCCCCATTCTCCCGATTTCCATCGCCCCGGCTCATTCTCCCTCCTTCCATCACCCCGCCCCATTCTCCCTCCTTCCATCACCCGGCCCCATTCTCTCTCCTTCCATCACCCCACCCCACTCTTCCGCTTCCATCACCCCGCCCCATTCTCCCGCTTTCCATCACCCCGCCCCATTCTCCCCCTTTCCATCACCCCGCCCCATTCTCCCTCTTTCCATCACCCCGCCCCGTTCTCCCGCCTTCCATCACCCCGCCCCATTCTCCCTCCTTCCATCACCCCGCCCCATTCTCTCTCCTTCCATCACCCCGCCCCATTCTCCCGCTTCCATCACCCCGCCCCATTCTCCCGCTTTCCATCACCCCGCCCCATTCTCCCCCTTTCCATCACCCCGCCCCATTCTCCCTCTTTCCATCACCCCGCCCCGTTCTCCCGCTTTCCATCACCCCGCCCCCTTCTCCCGCTTTCCATCACCCCGCCCCCTTCTCCCGCTTTCCATCACCCCGCCCCATTCTCTCGCTTTTTATCACCCCGCCCCATTCTCCCGCTTTCCATCACCCCGCCCCATTCTCCCGCTTTCCATCACCCCGCCCCGTTCTCCCGCTTTCCATCACCCCGCCTCGTTCTCCCGCTTTCCATCACCCCGCCCCATTCTCCCCCTTTCCATCACCCTGCCCCATTCTCCCCCTTTCCATCACCTCGCCCCATTCTCCCCCTTTCCATCACCCCGCCCCATTCTCCGCCTTTCTATCACCCCGCCCCATTCTCCCGCTTTCCATTACCCCGCCCCATTCTCCTTCCTTCCATCACCCCGCCCCATTCTCCCTCCTTCCATCACCCCGCCCCGTTCTCCCACTTTCCATCACCCCGCCCCATTCTCCCTCCTTCCATCACCCCGCCCCAATTTCCCTCCTTCCATCACCCTGCCCCATTCTCCCTCCTTCCATCACCCCACCCCATTCTCACGCTTCCATCACCCCGCCCATTCTCCCTCTTTCCATCACCCCGCCCCATTCTCCCTCCTTCCATCACCCTGCGCCCTTCTCCCGCTTTCCATCACCCCGCGCTCTTCTCCCTCTTTCCATCACCCCACCCCATTCTCCCGCTTTCCATCACCCCGCCTCATTATCCCGCTTTCCATCACCCCACCCCATTCTCCCTCCTTCTATCACCCCGCCCAATTCTCCCTCTTCCATCACCCCGCCCCATTCTCCCGCTTTCCATCACCCCGCCCCATTCTCCCCTTTTCCATCACCCCGCCCCATTCTCCCGCTTTTCATCACCCCGCCCCATTCTCCCGCTTTTCATCACCCCGCCCCATTCTCCCGCTTTCCATCACCCCGCCCCATTCTCCCGCTTTCCATCACCCCTCCCCATTCTCCCGCTTTCCATCACCCCGTCCCATTCTCTCGCTTTCCATCACCCCGCCCCATTCTCCCGCTTTCCATCACCCCTCCCCATTCTCCCGCTTTCCATCATCCCGCCCCATTCTCCCGCTTTCCATCACCCCGCCCCATTCTCCCGCTTTCCGTCACCCCGCCCCATTCTCTCGCTTTCTATCACCCCGCCCCATTCTTCCTCTTTCCGCCGCTCCACCCCATTCTCCCGATTTCCATCGCCCCGGCTCATTCTCCCTCCTTCCATCACCCCGCCCCATTCTCCCTCCTTCCATCACCCGGCCCCATTCTCTCTCCTTCCATCACCCCACCCCATTCTTCCGCTTCCATCACCCCGCCCCATTCTCCCGCTTTCCATCACCCCGCCCCATTCTCCCCCTTTCCATCACCCCGCCCCATTCTCCCTCTTTCCATCACCCCGCCCCGTTCTCCCGCTTTCCATCACCCCGCCCCATTCTCCCTCCTTCCATCACCCCGCCCCATTCTCTCTCCTTCCATCACCCCGCCCCATTCTCCCGCTTCCATCACCCCGCCCCATTCTCCCGCTTTCCATCACCCCGCCCCATTCTCCCCCTTTCCATCACCCCGCCCCATTCTCCCTCTTTCCATCACCCCGCCCCGTTCTCCCGCTTTCCATCACCCCGCCCCCTTCTCCCGCTTTCCATCACCCCGCCCCCTTCTCCCGCTTTCCATCACCCCGCCCCATTCTCTCGGTTTTTATCACCCCGCCCCATTCTCCCGCTTTCCATCACCCCGCCCCATTCTCCCGCTTTCCATCACCCCGCCCCGTTCTCCCGCTTTCCATCACCCCGCCTCGTTCTCCCGCTTTCCATCACCCCGCCCCATTCTCCCCCTTTCCATCACCCTGCCCCATTCTCCCCCTTTCCATCACCTCGCCCCATTCTCCCCCTTTCCATCACCCCGCCCCATTCTCCCCCTTTCTATCACCCCGCCCCATTCTCCCGCTTTCCATTACCCCGCCCCATTCTCCTTCCTTCCATCACCCCGCCCCATTCTCCCTCCTTCCATCACCCCGCCCTGTTCTCCCACTTTCCATCACCCGGCCCCATTCTCCCTCCTTCCATCACCCCGCCCCAATTTCCCTCCTTCCATCACCCTGCTCCATTCTCCCTCCTTCCATCACCCCGCCCCATTCTCACGCTTCCATCACCCCACCCCATTCTCCCGCTTTGGACCACCCCGCCCCATTCCCCCGCTTTCCATATGCAGCAACATTCGAGTCGTTCGATGTTTTTCCCTACGCAAACGCCTATAGGGATCCATGTGCTTCCTTAGCGTTTGTGGGCAGGCACGGCCATCATCGGAGGCGCCGAACTATTCTGTGCGTACAAACCAAGCTAAAGTTGCTCTGGTAGGTGTAATTGAACATGGGCTACCCGAAAATGCAACGTTATTGGGGTCGTTCGATGCTTTTCCCTACTATAAACATCCATGCGCTTCCTTAGCGTTCGTGGGCAGAACTTTTCTGTGCGCTCGAACCAAGCTCAATTTCCTCCTCTGGTAGGTGTATTTGAACATGTGCCACTGGAATATGCAACAACATTCGGGTCGTTCGATGATTTTCCCTACGTCTATATGGATCCATGTGCTTCTTTAGCGTTTGTGTGCAGGCACGGTGGTCATCGCGGGCGCCGAACTTTTCTGTGCGCGTGAACCAAGCTGAAGTTGCTCTGGTAGGCGTCTTTGAATATGAGCCACCCGAATATGCAACAACATTCGGGTCGTTTGATGCTTTTCCCAATGCCTATAGGGATCGATGCGCTTCCTTAGCGTTTGTGGGCAGGCACGACCGTCATCGCGGGTGCCGAATTATTCTGTGCGCGTGAACCAAGCTGAAGTTGCTTTGGTAGGTATATTTGAATATGGGCCACCCAAATATGCAACAACATTCGGGTCGTTCAATGCTTTTCTCTACGCCTACGCATATAGGGCTCCATGCGCTTCCTTAGCGTTCGAGGGCAGGCACGGCCGTCATCGCGGGCGCCGAACTTTTCTGTGCACACGAACCAAGCTGAAGTTGCTCTGGTAGGTGTATTTGAACATGGGTCACCAAAATATGCAACAATATTTGGGTCGTTAGATGCTTTTCCCTTCGCCTATAAGGATCCATGCGCTTCCTTAGTATTTGTGGGCAGGCACGTCCGCCATCGCGGGCGCCGAACTCTTCAGTGCGCGCGAACCAAGTTGAAGTTGCTCTGGTAGGTGTATTTGAATATGGGCCATCCGAATATGCAACAACATTCGGGTCGTTCGATGCTTTTCCCTACGCCTATAAGGATCCATGCGCTTTCTTAGCGATTATAGGCAGGCACGACCGTCATCGCGGGCACCGAACTTTTCTGTGCGCGCCGAACTTTTCTGTGCGCGCGAACTAAAGTTGCTCTGGTAGGTATATTTGAGCATGAGCCACCCGAATATGCAGCAACATTCGGGTCGTTCGATGCTTTTCCCTACGCTTATATGGATCCATTCGCTTCCTTAGCGTTTGTAGGCAGGCACGCCCGTCATCGCAGGCGCCAAACTTTTTTGTGTCCACGAACCAAGCTAAAGTTGCTCTGGTGGTGTATTTCAACATGGGCCACCCGAATATATAGCAACATTCAGGTCGTTCGATGCTTTTCCCTAAGCCTATAGGGATCCGTGCGCTTCGTTACCATTTGTCGGCAGACACAGCCATCATCGCAGGCGCCAAACTTTTCTGCGCGCACGATCCAAGCTGGAACTGCTCTGGTAGGTGTATTTGAGTATGGACCACCCGAATATGCAACAATATTCAGGCCGTTTGATTCTTTTCCCTATGCCTATAGGGATGCATGCGCTTCGTTACCATTTGTCGGCAGACACAGCCATCAGCGCAGGCGCCGAACTTTTCTGTGCGCACGAACCAAGCCGGATTGCTCTCGTAGGTGTATTTGAGCATGGGCCACCCGAATATGCAACAACGTTCACGTTGTTTGATGCTTTTCCCTACGCCCATGGTGATCCATGCGCTTCGTTACCATTTATCGGCAAACACAGCCGTCAGCGTAGGCGCCGAACTTTTCGGTGCGCACGAACCAATCCGATGCTCTGGTAGGTGTATTTGAGCATGAGACACTTGAATATCCAACAACATTCAGGTCGTTTGGTGTTTTTCCCTACGCCTATAGGGATTCATGTACTCTGTTACAATTTTAGCATGAGACACTTGAATATCCAACAACATTCAGGTCGTTTGGTGTTTTTCCCTACGCCTATAGGGATTCATGTACACAGCCGTCACTGGGCCTATTACCAAGCCAGCAAGGGCGTGGAAGGGTGGCGAGCATCTTGCTGGCTTGGTAATAGATCCAAACGCATATAACCACGTGAACCAACAGAAGAAAAATGCTCGGAACGAGCTTTTTCAGCCCCAAAACGCGGGAGAATCCATGTGCTGAAAATGCAGCAGGCTTTTCATTCGCGAATACGAATAACATATTATGCTTGCCACCCTCCCACGCTCTTGCTGGCTTGGTAATAGGTGCAAACGCATACAGCTAAGACTTGCATTTTCGTTAACACCGAGCATTAGAAGAGAGCTCATACTGTCACCCCCCGGAGAAGCCCCCATGGGGCGTAATAATAAAACAGGGTTTTTTAGGGGGGTGGGCTTATAATTGAGGGCGTATCCATGTTCGGGTCATGGGCACTGTTCCGGGCATCTGCAATTTGCGGATGACCCAAACAACATAAAACGCCACTTTGGGTCCTCCGAACTCATGCGACCCCCAAAGAGCCGCGAGGGTATTCGCGCCAAAATCAAGCTCCCCACAACAGTCGCATCCAATGGAGGGATGCCAGAACAATTCGAAATATCCTTAGCAAGACCCACGCGAAACCCACCGAAAAACACAATCGTCAAAATTCTCGGCGTGGATCCCCAAATGTTGGGAGCGCAACGCGGGAAATTTTAGACACACTCATGGTCATTGGGGTTGAATTGCCAAATGGTTGGGTGCAGAAGTGTAAGACGTGGGACATTGCCCACTTGTGACACTCGACTGACGACCGCCAAAAAATGGCAGTAAATCCAGATTCGTGCTGCCATGTGATTGGTTGGGGGTGGGTCGTGCACGTCTGTCGCCCAACACCTGCACATTGACCCAAAGCTGGGGCCGCGCGCGGCTCGTCAGCCCACTTTGGGTCATGCGCAATTTCCGCATGACCCAAACAGTAGCCAAAACAGTGCTCATGACCCGAACATGGATACGCCCTGAGTCAAATTTATAAGCGCGGGCGCTTATAAACTGACATATATATATATATAGTGTTTTCTAACACCAAACTGTAGATCTCGTGCTTGCCTTTTCAATCGAGTAAAAGTTACATGGGGTCTTCAGTGAAATTCTCGTGTTCGCTGAGAGATACACTCGATCTGACTCACAGGTGTCCTTAACAGCTCCTGCTGACTAGACTCGCATCCAGTGCAGGGTTTATGTAAATTCATCATGTCATGTAAGCCTGAAAGCATCATGACAGGAGATGATGTCCTCCTAGCCTGGAAGGTGTGTTTCACGTCCAATCCACACCAGTCTCCTGCTTTAGATCTATTATGAAAAGAAGGGAAAGAAAGACATAAATGAAGAAGAAAAGAAAAGAAAAGAGAAAGGGAGAAGGAAAGTGAAACCGCCAAGGAGAACCCAAATGCAACACACATAAAACCCCCCCTCAAGATACCCAATCAAAACGCCGAGTCAAGACACCCTGTCAAGACATCCCATCCCACACCCCATTCCCCCCCCCCCCCCCCCCAATCACATATCCGCCTGCTAAAATAAAAATCGCTACAGTGTTTTGAACCAATTTCAAATTTTATAGTTTACATACGCTTATAATAGATCAAGTTTTTTTCAGGGGGTGCGCTTATAATTGAGGAGCGGATATAAGCGCCATATGCCATACCAGCCAATTACAAGCGCCTGGCGCTTATCCCAGGATGGCGCTTATATCCGGGGGTTGACGGTATAAGCTGCCATGTTTCTCAACAATATGCGATGAGTCGTGAGTGTATCTGGGCAATGAAGGTGTCTGGTTTTTATACCGTCACCCCCCGGATATAAGCGCCACCCTAGGATAAGCGCCTGGCGCTTCTAATTGGCATATGGCGCTTATATCCCCTCCTCGATTATAAGCGCACCCCCTGAAAAAACTAGTTTTATTATAAGCGCACGTAAACTTTAAAATTTGAAATGTGTACAAAACGTTGTAATGATTTTTACTTTAGCAGGCAGATATGTTGCAGATTCGGTTCCCTTCACATTCGGACCCTGCACTGGATGCGGGTCCAGTCAGCAGGAGCTGTCAGGAGCTGGATGTGAGTCAGATTGGGTGTGTCTCCCAGCGTGCGCGAGAATTTCACAGACGACCCCATGTAAATTTGACTCGATTGAAAGGGCAAGCACGAGACCTACAGTTTGGTGTTAAAAAATATAAAAAATATGAATGTCATTTTATAAACGCCGGCGCTTATAAATTTACTCGATTATAAGCCCACCCCCTTGAAAAAACCTGTTTTATTATTGCCCCCCATGGGGGTATATCCGGGGGGTGACGGTACATTCCTTTCTTCTCTTTCTTCTTCACGCAATGTTTTTCAACCCATCCCTGCCAAAAGGTACTGCGGATGGATGAATGGAGACAAGTCATAAGGCAGGTAAGCATGAAGGTTGTGCAGAGCTGAGCTAAACAGGAAGTTCAGCCATAGTGGCCTGGCCACATGTGCAACTGAAAGGCCGCTTGAATGTGGAATGGGAATACTACTGAGGGGAGTGATGCGTGCGAGAGACAAAGGACGAGGAACGCCGGCCTTGGAAGAGTCTTCGAACAGATGAGACCGTGTCACCCTGTCATGCGCATGAGCCACCATGAATGCATGCATGTACAACACGTGAGGCAGGATGCATGAATGCGCATGGTATGTGATGGTGCATGGCACATAGTGCCGTCATTACCAGTCATGTGGAGAGCAAAACAGGGAGGCAAGAAAAAGGGGAAGAGCACAAGAGTTCTGGCACGCCAAATGATATAACTTCTTGGCCAGTGAAGTCTCAGCAGTACCTGGCTACCACCCACAACCCCTCGCCTACATTGTGGTTGCTCTGCGCCCAAATCCCCTCCCCCCCCCCCCCTCCTCCCCTCCCAACCCCCTCCCCTCCCACCTTCGCACGTTTTTTTTCCTGCCCAAAAACGTTTCTTAGCCTGCCCAGACTAGACTCCTTCTAACGGTCCTAGAAGGCGGGCCAGGGCTAGTGTCCAGCATCCAGACGAGCATCCCTAGGAACACAAGCCACCATGCTCCGCGCACTCTCAGCACCTGAGCCCCATGCCCCCAAAGGATCTTTCACCCACCTTGAACGATGCCACCCACCTTGAACGATGCCACCCACCTTGAACGATGCCACCCACCTTGAACGATGCCACCCACCTTGAACGATGCCACCCACCTTGAACGATGCCACCCACCTTGAACGATGCCACCCACCTTGAACGATGCCACCCACCTTGAACGATGCCACCCACCTTGAACGATGCCACCCACCTTGAACGATGCCACCCACCTTGAACGATGCCACCCACCTTGAACGATGCCACCCACCTTGAACGATGCCACCTACCTTGAACGATGCCACCCACCTTGAACGATGCCACCCACCTTGAACGATGCCACCTACCTTGAACGATGCCACCTACCTTGAACGATGCCACCTACCTTGAACGATGCCACCTACCTTGAACGATGCCACCCACCTTGAACGATGCCACCTACCTTGAACGATGCCACCTACCTTGAACGATGCCACCTACCTTGAACGATGCCACCTACCTTGAAGGACGCCACCGAGTCGTGTGCGTCCATTCCTCCAGGCAGCCAGTCCGCCACCCCTTCAGCCGTCCTGTCGGGCCCCTCAGCAGCCCTGTGGGCAGCGGAGTGCAGCGGCCTGTGAGCGGGGGCGGCGGCGGCGGGCAGCACGTGGTGCAGCGCGGCCAGGCACTGCTGCCATCCGGGCGCTCCCCCCTCCACCGCCTCAGGGTCGGCGCCGTGGGAGGGGGGCACGGCAGGGAGACGGTGGGCATGGGGCGAGGCAGACAGGCTGAGGTCCTGGGCGGGGGCAGCGAGGGCTTTGAGGCGGTGGGAGGCGGCGAGGGCGTTGACCCACGGGCAGAAGCGGCGGTGGCTCAGCAGCGGGTCAAAGAGGCGCTGCGGCTCATCTGAGTCAGAACATGTGGGTAAGGGGTTGCACGGAGGCAAGGGATTGCACGGAGGCATGTGGCAAAGTGGGGCGGCATGGGCCGTGCATGTGGTGGAACATGGTGAAGCTTGGTGATGGGCTGGTGAATGGTGGCGGCGCAGGGCTATTCTACACGTGAGAGCAGAGTGAGGTGAAAGCAGGGGCGTGAGGAGAAAACAAATATGTGAGGTGAAAGGAGAGGAGTGGGGAGAAAAACAAAATGTGAGGTGAAAGAAACTTTGGAACGAGCTGAGTGGTGAGCGGCCTCAAGGGCGAAGAGAGTGGAGTGGTGGGAGCACAACAACACGCACCAGAGGCTGGGCCAACGTCAGTGGCAGGAAGGGCAGAGACAGGGCCGGGAGCAGCAGGCGGCGTGGCAGGAGTGGCAGCATTGGCAGCAGCGGGAGGTGAGCCACTGCTGACCTCAGCCTCCCCCACACAAGGTGGACCCACGCCGTTGGCACCACCACTTGCAGCACGAGCAGCAGGAACGGGCGGGGCGTGAAGGGCAGCAGCAGTGGCAGTACCATCCACACTCTGCCCTTCCCTGCCAGCCCCATGCACTCCCCCGTGGCCGTTCCCCCCTCCTCCCTGCACGCGCATCTGATCTGCAACCACCCCACGTGCACCGCCACTGCCTCCATGCTCTCCTCGCTCCTCCCCACCCCTGTGCTGCCTGCTGCCTGCTCCCCCCCGCACCTCTCCTAGCCCATTCACGCCACCTGTGCCGCCGCCGCCACTCACGCGCTCATCGCCAACTGCCCGCTCCCCCACTCGCCCACGCTGCTCCGCCACCCCCCCGCCCTCCCCCTGCCCCTCATCCACATCCATCCCCACCGCCCCCTCCCCGCCCCCCTCTGCCCCACCTGCTGCCAGCCCCACCTCCCCTGTGCCCTCTGCTGCTTCCTGCACGCCCGCTGCCCCTGCTGTTGCTCCTGCATTCGCCACGTCAGCACGGACGTCCGCCTCAGCATCGCCATCCGCGTCAGCATCCTCCTCAATGAGCAGCCCCTGGGTGGTGTCGCGGGTCTCCTCTGGGCCCCCCGTCTCCCCCGCGCCCTCCCTCTGCACTCCCCACTCACGCCCCCCGCCCTGCCCTTCCTTCGCTTCCCCCGTCCCCTCCCCCCCTCCATCCTCACCCCTTGCCGCCTCCTCACCTGCCTTCCCCACGCTGCTTCCCCTCCGCCCCTCCCCCAGTCCGCCACTGCCCCGTCCTTCCCTCCCCCCCGTCGCCCCCGTTCCCCCCCCTGTCTCCGCTACCTCCACACCCCCCACCGTCACCTGCTCAACTCCTGTCATACCTGCACCCTCGCCCATCCCCTCCCCCATCCCCTCCCCCATGCCCTCCCCCGTCTGCCCAATCCCAGCCACCGTTTCACCCAGCCCTCCCACCGCATTCCCCCTTATCCCTTCCCCAGCTTCCCCTCGCCTTCTGCCCCCGTCCTCCCCTCCACCCCATCGCCCACCCCACCCGCCCCCTGCAAAGCTGAAACTCTCCACCTGCCTGCCGCCTCCCCTCTCCACATGCCCCTCCCCCTCCCCCTCTGCCCCTCTCCCTCCTGCGCCCTCCCCATGCTGCCTCTCCGCGCCCCCGGGCGCACTGCCCGCCCCTGTGCCAGCAGCGCCGCCAGCAGCGCCCCCCCAGGCCCCCCCCACCACGCTGCGGCAGGCGGAGAGCGCCACAGCAGCCAGCGCGGCGCGGGGCGCGTGGGGAGGGGCGCCGGCGGAGGCGGGGGCGTCGGTGGAGGCGAGGGCGCGCGAGGCGTCCACGACGTCGCCCTCCAGCGCCTGCGCCTCCACCTCCACGCTCGCCCCCATCGCCACACTGCCCCCGCCCGGCCCCTCCGCGTCGTCCCCCGCCGTGCCCGTGCTGATCACCGCCGCGTTCGTCGCCGCCTCTCCCTCCCCCCCGCCCCCCCCCTCCCCACTCTTGCTCAGCCCCTCCTCGCCCTCCGCCCCCACCGTCCCCCCCCCGCGCGCCTCAATGCGCCCTGCACTGGCTGCACTCACGCCCGCACCCACAGCCCCTGCGCCCACACCCATAGCCGACCCAGCAACAGCAGCAACAGCAGCAGCGGCGGCGGCAGTGGCAGTGGCAGCAGCGGCAGCACCAGCGCTGGCGGCAGTGCTGTGAGCAGCAACACCCCCCTGCTCCGCTCCTCCCATCCCCCCCTGCATTCCCATGCCCTCCGCAACAGCTTCAACCCCCAATCCTCGTCCCTCCCCCGTGCGGCCCTCCGCCTCTGCCCTCTCTATTGCCGCCTGCACCCCAGGTGACACCTGCACATGTCCCCCCCTGCTGCTCCCCTCCTCTCCCCCACCCACCTCTACCCCGCGCTCCACAACGCCCGCCACCTCACTTGCTACCTCCATCTGCTCGCCCCCCTGCCCCCCCCGCCCCCGCCACCCCCCCCTGCGCTGCCCCCTGGGCGTGCAGGTCGAGGGGGGGCGGCAGGTTGTCAACACTGTCAGCGCTGGTGTCGTCGCGCTCACTGAAGTCCGTGTTGGTTGCGTACACCGACGACGCCCGCGCCCACTCGCCCCCCACCCCGCCCAACGCCCCTGCCCCTGTCCCTGCCCCTGCTGCGCCACCACCACCACCAGCGCCAGCTCCCGCAGCAGTAGCAGCAACCTCAGCAGCAGCACCAGCGCCAGCAGCAGCAGGAGGAAGAGGAGCAGCGGAACCAGCAGCGACAGCAGGAGACGCAGCAGCAGCACCCAGGGCTTCTGCGACCTTGCCCCCCGCCCCCTTCCCTCCAACCACCCCTCTCCCAGTCCCTCCTCCCCCTGCGCCCGCGGCCTTGCCTCGTGGCCCCACGCCCAAGGCAGTGCGCGAGGCGGGGGGGCGGGGCGCGTGGGAGGAGGACGCGTCCACGTGGCGGCGCTTCTGAGGCGGCTCCAGGAACTCACTGCCGCCCGCCCTGCCCTCTGCCGCCCGCCCCCGCCTCCCCTGCCCCTCAACCGCCCTGCCCCGCTGCTGCTGTGCGCCATCCCCGTGCCCCACCGCACTGCACCCCACTGCCCCACTGCCTGCCGCTGACGCCACACCTCCAGGCACACCCTCTTCCCCACCCACACCTCCCCTGCCTGCCGTGCTGGCAGCCGGTGCACGTGTGGACGGCACAAGAAACGCCGCTGCCGACAACTGCTGCTCCACACGACCCCTGTCACCGCCCTCCCCGCCACCGCCACCACCCTGCATGCTGCTGCCCTGCGTGGGACCCGTGCTCACGCACGCAATGATGTCGGCTCTAGCCCCCTCGTGCCGGCTCTGCTGTGCTGCCACTGCCGCCCCCGCGCCCTCCCCCTCGTTGCCGGTCTCATCGCCCCCCTCCAGCCGCTGAGTCTCCCCACACCCCTCCCCCCTCCCACTCTCATCGCCCCCCTCCATCCTCTCGTTCTCACCCCCCCCCTCCTTTCCCCACGCCCCCCTGCCTGCGCGCCCGCCCGCTGGCCCCTCCGCCTCGCCCTCTGGCGCACCCTTGCTGCCGGCGGCGCGGCGAGCGCCCCCCTTGGCGCGGGCAGCGCGGGCGCGCAGAGAGCCCTCCACCTCGGCCTCCTCGGACGACACCTCCTCCATCTCCGCCACCACGCCCTCCGCACTGTTCATCGGCAGCACCGCCACACCCCCCCGCCCAAAGCTCACCTCGCCCAAACACTGCCCAAACCCCTCTGCGCCCACGCCACCTCCCTCTCCCCCTCCCTCTCCACCTCCCTCCCCCTCTACCCCTACTCTCCTTGCTGGTCCCCCTCCCCCGTCCCCTTCCACTAACCCTCCCCCTCCCCCACCCCCTGCGCCTGCCTTGCCGCCCGCCCCCAGATTGGCGCCGGCAGGGCCGCTGAGGTGGCAGCCAGGAATGGGCAGGCCGGCGCCAAAGAGGGGGAGGGCGGAGGCAGAGCCGAAGGGGCGCGGAGGGGGCGAGGAGGAGAGGTGCGTGGGGGGGAGGCCGCCAGCGATGGTCAGACCCAGGTCCAGTGCCACCCCGCCCGCTCCCAACCCTGCTCCCGCTGCTGCTGCTGCTGCTGCTATTGCTGCTGCTGGCGATGGTGGGCGGTACTCGGGATGGGTTGTTGGTGCAGCAGCGGACGCAGCTCCGAGTGGCGTGGCGCTGCCTACAATTGACAGCGCTGCTGCCACGGGGGCAGCAGGGCGCACAGCCTCCGCCTCAACTCCTGCTGTCGCCCCCCCCGCCTCCAACCCCTGCTTCCGCCTCCTCACCACAGAGGCAGGCGCACCCATGCTGCCTGCTGCCGCTCTCCTACCCACACCACCACCGGCACCACCAGCAGACGCATCAGTGGCAGTAGCAGGGGTAGCAGCAGCAGCAACAGGCAGAGCAGGGGCAGGGGCAGCGGACGCAGCGGCAAGCGGGGCAGCGATTCCTTGCTCGTCCATCGCGTCCTCCCCCTCGCGCCGACCATGCACCCGCCTGGGCGAAGTGACCACCTCGGGCCCCATGCCCCTCTCCGTGCCCTCTCCCCCTGCACCTCCCTCCGCTTCCCCCTCTACCCTATACCCTTCCTTCGCTTCCCCCACCCCTTCCTCCGAGCCCTCCCCCATCCTTTCCGCCACCCCCGCGCCCCCCTGCCCCTGAGACGCTCCCCACCGCCCCCTTACCTTGCCCCTTGCGCCCAGCCCCGCCCTGTGCGGGGGGCTCGTGATGCTCATTCCCCCCACCGGCGCGATAATGATGGCAGCTGCTGCAGGAGCAGGCGGAAGACTCTTCCGCGCCCCACTCTCGCCCTCCCGCTGCTCCTCCTCTGCCTTCTCCCCCCCTCCCTCACTGCCCCTCTCCGCCTGCACCTCCCGCTCCCTCGCCCCCTCCTCCCCTGGTGGCCCCTGGCGGGCGGAGAGCTGGGGCGAGGCGGGGGGAAGGGCGAGGGGTGCGGGGGGGCGGGGCAGCGTGGAGTAGTTCCACACGCCCACGCTGGCGCCGCACAGCGCGCACTGCAGCACCGCCGCGCTCGCAGGGATGCCAGGCGGGGGGCGCGCAGGCACGTGCGCGCGCCCATGGGCGGGCAGAGCGGGCAGAGGGGCGGTGGGGTGTGCAGGCGGGTGGCGGTGGTTGGCGTGGGGCGGGTCGTGCGCGTCAGGCAGCACGCCCAAGGCGCGCGGCTCCCACCCACACACCGCGATGATGCGCTGCACCTGCCCACGCACGAGCAATGTGCCGCCGTGGGACCGTGGAGACATGGGGTGGGGCAAGGCGTGTGAGAGTGGGGGACAGACGAGCGCACAGGCAGGGTTGTTGACGTGAGGGGGAGTGCGGAGAGGCAAGGCACGCACCTCGATGTAAGCAGCGGCGTCTGACGTCACGCGCGTGGCTGTGCGCCCCACGGGGTCGTCCCACGGTGCGCCCACCGGCAGCGCGGGCAGCGCCAGCAGCGCGTCCAGGGCGCGCGGGCTGCAGCGCCGCATGCGCTCCACCGCTGCGGGCGCCAGCGCGGGCAGGCGCGCCAGCTGCTGCAGCGCCTGGCAGCGCTCAAACACGGCCGCGGCCAGCGCGGCGGGCGGCTGGGGGGGGAAGAGCAGCAGCGCCTCGTCGCACTCGTTGCCCCGCCACGCGCAGTGCTGCCTGTGCGCCGACTCCAGCCGCCCCGCTACCTCCGCTGCCGCCCGCTCCACTGCCGCCCACGGATTCGTGGGGGCGGGGGGTGAGGGGGAGATGGATAGATGTTGAGTATATGAGGGGGGGTGAGGTGAGTGAGGAGAGGCATGCACGCGACCAGAAGCATGAGAGAAAGCGGGCGGCACGCAGACAGACCTTGAGCTCTGGACCACGTGGGCGGCACGCAGAAGCTGAGGCGCGCGTGGCACACCTCGCACGCCAGCATGTCCACGTCGCAGTTCACCCACCCCCTCCGCGCGCACGCTACCGCCCCCGCCGCCTGCCGTGGGGAGGGGAGAGGGAAGGAGGAGAGGCGGGACGCGAGGCGCAAATGGCTGCTTACTCGCATGAACCGTGCACGCACACATCCGCGCATGGAGCAACACGTGCGTGCAGCAAAGCAGCGTGCGAGCAGCGCGGCGGCGCACCTGCGGCTTGGCAAACCACGTGGTGGACTTGAATGTCGCCAGCCGTCGCAGCAGGTCATTGCGCTCCCACGGCCGGCACGCAGTCGCTCCCGCCCGCGCTGCCGCTGCTGGGTCGCCGTGCGCGTGCATCGCGGGGGAGCCCGCCCCTCCCGCTTCGCCCAGAGACGGCCGCAGCGAGAGCGGCTGGGCGGCGCGCGGCGGCGCGCTGCTGGAGCTGAACGCCGCTTGGGCCGCCACGCCGCGGAACGGTGCCACGCTGGATCCAGGTGTCAGTGTGTGACGGGCTGCTGAGCTGGCAGACATGCGAGAGGAACGAAGAAAAAAATACCGCGTGTCTGTGCTCCGGGAAAGAAGGAATGAATGACGGCAGACAGGCGAGAAACACGCGACAACGGAAGGACGGGAACCTAAGAACAGGCGAGGCTTTAAAAGCGAAAGTACTAATCAGACAGACAGACAAGCCGAGCCAAGTCAAATCGAACATAACCCAAGCCAAGCCGTGCCAGGCGAATCATAGCTGCCAGACCTAGATCGGGCCGCCAGTGGCGGCGATAGGATTTGCATCGCCCGCGCGAAGCGCTTCTCAGGCGACTGCTCGTCCATTGCGCTCGCGCACAGCGTAACGATGCGCCGATAGTTCGCGCGCCGGTCGCCGTGTGTCGACGGAAGACGACGGGGCGAAAAAGAACGAGCTAGGGTCGCATCGCCGAATCACGAACTCGCATTCTAGAGAATACCGCAACACGATTTCTACCTATCTTGCGGAAGTGCGATTTTCAAGATGCAACTGCGATGCAGAAGGACCAAAAGTCTGTCAAGGAATACAGCATACAAGCATATTTCGTTCTATACATAGTACATGCACTACAAACGTTCTAAGCTTCGGGGTAGACAATTATGAACACATCAGAGGATGGATGTGAACACTTTACCACCTGTAAGGAAAATTCCTTTTCCTTACTTCGCGTCCCCGCTCAGCGCGTACACCACTGTAGCACCACAGTCAGCACCATTACCACTCGCAACCATCGCATTAACAATCCTCCCGCCACCTTCGCATGTCGCACCCCGACCTCACGGCTCGGCGGGTAACCCGCGCTCCGGGCCTCCGCTTCGACAATTCCCCAAGCCTCAGTCCCAGGCCCGTCGCGCGACAACCACAGTTCATTACCGTATGTTACGGGTGCAATGAAGTGAGCGGACGAAGATTGCACTATCGAAGCAAGAGTACAGTGAGCGAAGGCATGAGCGAAGATTATATAGCGAAACTATACTGGTAACGGTAATGGACTGTGGTTGTCGCGCGACGGGCCTGGGACTGAGGTTGGGAAAAAGTGTCGAGGCGGAGGTCCGGAGCGCGGGTTACCGCCGAGCCGTGAGGTCGGGGTGCGACATGCGAAAAAGTGGCGGGCGGATTATCGATGCGAGTGGTAACGGTGCTGACTGAGGTGCTACAGTGATGTACGCGGTGAGCAGGGATGCGAAGTAAGGAAAAAGGGATTTTCCTTACACTACCCCCCTCCCCAAGGAGGCCCCTCTTACGAGAGCGCATGCACGTCGCGGAAATTTCGGCTTCGCAGATACTCGGTGAAGACAGGGTGGTTCTCGATTTTATCCAGGGGGACCCAGTTGTCTTCTGTGGGCGTTCGGTCCTTCCAGCGAATTAGGAACTCGATCCTTCGGGCTCCCCGTGGGTCGCGGACTCGGTGGCTGAGGATTTTTTCAGGGGTGATGATTGGTTCGGTTGGGGGGCGTGTCATGCTGGCTGGGCGATTGCGTGGCAGTTGGCTCGTGGATGGGATGTAAGGGCGAAGGAGGCTGACGTGGAATGACGGGCTGACGTACCAGTCAGCAGGGAGGAGGAGGTGGGCGGTGACGGGTGTGATCATGTGGCTGATGCGAAATGGCCCACAATATCGGGGGCGAAGTTTTGGAGTGATGGGCAGGCGGAGGTTCTGGGTGTCGAGTAGTACTAGGTCGTCTGGTTGGTAAGTGACAGGTCGGCGGTGGCGATCGGCGTTGCGCTTAGCGATTATGTTGGCCTTTTTAATTGTGTCTGTTGCCCTGGTCTGTGCTGCTTGCAAAATCTCGGCGAACTGTTGTGCGCGTGGGACTGGATTGTCGGGATTTGGGGTCATGGGTACTGTTGGGTCCTGCCCGTAATTCAGGTAAAACGGTGACTGTTGGGTCGTGGCGGAGGGCGAGTTGTTGTACGCGAATTCAATGAGTGGCAGTTGCTGTTCCCACGTGTTCGGGTCGTCGCACGTGGCCCTGATGAGCTGTTCCATGGTCTGGTTTCTCCGTTCTGTCTGTCCGTCCGTTTCGGGGTGGTACGAAGAACTGAACTGTAGTCGCGTGCCAAACTGCTGCCACAGGTTCCGCCAGAAGTTGCTGGTGAATTTCGTGTCGCGGTCGCTGATAATTGCCGATGGTATCCCGTGAAGGCGAACAACGGTGGCGATGAAGAGACGGGCCGTTTCTTCGGCTGTGATTGATTTCTTGCAAGCTGCGAAATGTGCCATTTTCGTCAGTCGATCGACTACGACCAAGATCGCGTCGTTCCCACTCGCCCCGGCCGGTAACCCCGTGACGAAGTCCATCGTCACCTGCTGCCAAGCACGCTCTGGGGGTGGAATCGGCTGCAACTGTCCTGCCGGCCGCTTCCGTGATGATTTCATGATCTGGCAGGTGGGACACGATGCCACGTGTCGTTGGATGTCGGTCAACATTTCTGGCCAATAATAGTACCGCTGCAGCTGCTGCCGTGTTTCTTCTACCCCAAAATGTCCCGAGGTAACTCCGTCGTGTGCCTCCTGTAACAGTAATTCCCGTAGTAGTGTGTACCCGGGTACCCAAATGCGGTCGGTCCCGGCTTTTACGTAATAAACCCCTCGTGCTGCTGCGAACTGCTGTGAATTGCCTCCGGTGAAGAATGGGTCTGTTTGATACCCGTGGGTAAATAGTCCTGTCAGTAGCGGGCTAGTCTGGGCGAGTAGTATCGCGTGGATTTGGGCAGTGGGGCGGGTCAGTGCGTCGGCAATGTTGGAAGCTCCCTTTTTGTAGGTGACCGTGTAATGGAAATTCGATTCGAGAAAATCGAGCCAGCGGATCTGTCGTGGGTTGAGGTGAGGTTGTGCGCGGAGATACTGTAGTGATCGGTGGTCTGTCCGTACTGTCACGTCTGCGCCGGTCAAGTAACAGCGCCACACTTTGAACGCGTGCACGATCGCAAACATTTCGCGATCGTGTATCGGGTAATTCTTCTCAGGTGGGTGCAGCTTCCGTGATTCGTAGGCGATGGGCTGTAGGCCGTTCCCGAAATCCTGTAGCAGTACGGCTCCGATGGCGATGTCGCTTGCGTCAGTAATGACTTCGAATGGGCGGTGAGGGTCGGCAATGCGCAGGACAGGCGGTGAACAGAGAACATTTTTCAGGGTAGAGAAGGCAGCCTGCTCTTTCTCCCCCCACGTAAAAGCGACCCCCTTCCGCAGCAGATCCGTCAGTGGGGCAGTTAAGCGTGCCATGTCGGGGACGAACCGACGGACATAATTAACAAACCCCAAAAAACTCTGCAGCTCCGTGATGTTTGTCGGGGGGTGCCATGCTTTGACCGTATCCAGCTTTTTTGGGTCAATCTCAACCCCAGTTTCCGAAATAACGTGCCCCAAGAATTCTAACCTATCCCGAAAGAACTCGCACTTAGACCCCTTGGTCAATAACCGATGCTCTTTTAAAATTTTAAACACTGCTTCCAGGTCCGTTAAATGCTGCTGCTTATCGCGGCTGTAGACGAGAATGTCGTCGAGGTAGACTATCACACACTTATCTAAAAGTGGTCGAAACGCCTCGTTCATGGTCATCTGGAATGTTGCAGGTGCGTTGGTCAGCCCGAAAGGCATCACGGTATACTCGAACGACCCGTACCTAGTCCTAAAAGCTGTCTTGGCGCAGTCCGATGGTTCGACTCTAATCTGGTGGTAACCTCCCCGTAAATCTATTTTCGAGAACACCCGTGCTGTTCGCAGCTGGTCAATCAGTTCGTCGGCGCGGGGAATGGGGTATCGTGACTTCACTGTAACCCTGTTGAGCGCGCGGTAATCGATGCACATGCGAAACCCTCCATCTTTTTTCGGTGTGAATAGTATTGGTGCGGCGAACGGCAACGAGCTCGGTCGGATAAACTGCTTTGCTAATAGGTAATCTAACTGCTTCCTTAGTTCGTCGAGCTCCGGCTGTGTTAATCTGAACTGGCGCTGTACAGTTGGCTGTGCCCCCGGTTCTAACTCTATCCTATGGTCGTGCGCCCGCTGAGGTGGCAGTCCTTCCGGTAAGTCGTCGGGGAAAATTCCCGGGTACCGTTTCAATAGCTCCTGTAGTTCAGGCGGTACCGCTGTCAGCAATTTCTGAAAATCACTCGGCTGCTCAGCTTCTCCTACTACTGCGATGTCCACTGTGTCAAAATTAGAAGAAAGAAATGTCAGAACTTATAGCTTACTTGTTTCTGTAGGCTATAGTGGGGTATCCCATAGGGGGTACAACCCAATTAGGGTTTCCTATTTGTACTCACTTCGTTCATAGTCATTTCATTCTCGTTCTTTGTTTCCACATGGAATCAGAGCAGGTTCCCTCCTAGGGACTGCTTCTAGGGCCCACCGAACCGCGCCCCGAGGCGCGTTTTTTTTTTAGCGACCCGTCGTGTCGCCCCTAGCGGACCGTTGCGCCGCCCTTCCCCTCGCGGCTCCGCCGCCCTTCCCTAGCGGCCCCGCCGCCCTTCGATCGCGGCCCCGCCGCCCTCTGCTACGCGGCCCCGCCGCCGCCCTTCGATCGCGGCCCCGCCGCCCTCGGCTACGCGGCCCCGCCGCCCTCTGCCTCGCGGCCCCGCCGCCCTCTGCTACGCGGCCCCGCCGCCCTCTGCTACGCGGCCCCGCCGCCCTCTGCTACGCGGCCCCGCCGCCCTTCGATCGCGGCCCCGCCGCCCTTTGCCACGCGGCCCCGCCGCCCTCTACTACGCGGCCCCGCCGCCCTCTGCTACGCGGCCCCGCCGCCCTTCGATCGCGGCCCCGCCGCCCCCTGCTACGCGGCCTCGCCGCCCTCTGCTACGCGGCCCCACCGCCCCCTGCTACGCGGCCCCGCCGCTCTCTTCGGTCGCGGCCCCGCCGCCCTCTGCTACGCGGCCCCGCCGCCCTCTGCTACGCGGCCCCGCCGCCCTCTTCGGTCGCGGCCCCGCCGCCACTCTGCTACGCGGCCCCGCCGATCCGCCCAGCAGCAGCCGCCGCCGCCTGAGCCGCCGCCGAGCCGCCGCCGAGCCGTCGCCGAGCCGCCGCCGAGCCGCCGCCGAGCCGCCGCCGAGCCGCCGCCCGAGCCGCCGCCGAGCCGCCAGAGCCGCCGCCGAGCCGCCCGTGACGCCCGAGCCGCCCGCGCCGCCCAGCAGCAGCCGAGCCGCCGCCGAGCCGCCGCCGCCTGAGCCGCCGCCGAGCCGCCGCCGCGCCGCCGCCGAACCGCCGCCGAGCCGCCGCCCGAGCCGCCGCCGAGCCGCCCGCGCCGCCCGAGCCGCCTGCGGAGCCGTGCTGCTGTTCCTCTGCTGCTGACCTACCCGCCTCTCCCAGCCCGGTGAGATTTTCAGCTGCTGTCATGGCCACCCCCAATGTTCTTACCTTTGACGCTGAGGGGAGGGCCATTGACTTTGCCGTCTGGATTGAAGACCTGCAGCTGTACTTACTGTGTGATGCGATAGATGAGGTCTCTCTCTTTGACTTTGTCTCTGGCGCTGTCCCTGCCCCACCTGCTGATGCTGACTCTGCCGTTCGCTCCAAGTGGGCGACCCGCGATGCTGCTGCACGTCTTGCTGTGCGTCGCCACCTCCCTTCCTCTGAGCGTGCCCACTTTAGTCAGTGCAAGACCGCTCAGGCCTTGTACGACGCTGTAGTTGCACGCTACTCCTCCCCTTCCTCCGCTACCCTTAGCCGCCTCATGCTACCGTTTCTCTTCCCTGACCTCGCTTCCTTTCCCACTGTCGCTGACCTCGTTACCCACCTCCGTGCTAGTGACACCCGCTACCGCGCTGCCCTTCCTGCTGAGTTCCGCGCTGCGAACCCTCCTCCCATGTACATCACTCTCTACTTTCTCGTCACCCGTCTCCCTGAGTCCCTTCGTGTCGTTAGGGACCAGTTTCTCTCTGTCTGTCCCACCACTCTCACTGTCGACCTCCTTGAGGAGTCCCTGCTAGCGGCTGAGAAGAGTATTGTCGCTGTAGGGGCCTCTCGGGGTGACCCTCGCACCCCTATCTTTGAGGGGTGTGGTCCTTCCCCCCTGCTGCCCTCTGTCGCCTCTGCCGCTGCGGCCGACCTCACTGGTTTTGAGTCGGTCGGCGCGGCGTCTGCCCCCAGCGGCAGACGCCGCGCTGGCAAGGGCAAGGGGGGCAAGGGGGCGGGTGGAGCTAGAGGGGGCGGTGGAGGAGGCGGTGGGGGTGGCGGGGGGAGTGGGGGTGGCGGTGGGGGTGGTGGCGGGAGTGGAGGTACTGGTGGCGGCGGTGGAGGCGGAGGTGGCGGCGGAGGTGGTAGCGGAGGAGGCGGTGGGAGCGGTGGGAGCGACGGTCCTGGTGGGGGAGGTGGAGGTGGAGACGGGGGTGGCGGTGGAGGCGGGGGTGGCAGTGGAGGCGGGGGTCGGAGTGGCTCGTCCCAGCGGAGCAGCTCCGGGGGGTGGTCAGCGCCAGCAGCAGCAGCAGCAGCAGCCGCAGCAGCAGCCACAGCAGCAGCAGCGCTCTCGCACCGTCCCCGCCCCTCAGCAGCTCCGTGAGTGGTACTCGCAGCGTCAGCGTGGTGGTGCGCTTGGTCCTTGCCCCTACGTTCTCCGCACCGGTGACCGTGCAGGGGAGAGGTGTGGAGGCGCCCACACTGCCCGCCGCTGCTTTGGCCGCCTGACTGACGCCTGGCGTCAGCAGTTTCCGGAGGCAGCTGAGATCCCCCGCTGGGGAGAGCTGTCTAGGGCTGGTGTAGCTATTTACGATCTTGATTTTGATGCTATTCTCTCTGCTATGTATGCTGCGATTGGTAGTGATGAGGATGACTGTTACCGGTGTTTCCCGCCCGACCCGGGCATTGGTACTGCCGCGTCAGGTACTAGTGAGGCTGCTGCTCTAGGTGCCAGTGCGTCTGTGCTCTCAGGTGCTGGTGAGTCTGCCCTCTCAGGTACTGTGTCGGCTTCGGCCTCTCACACCTTCACCCTTGACTCTGGAGCGTCTCGCTCCTTCTTTCGGGACCGCACCACTCTCACGCCGCTGAGTCGGCCGGTTGCGGTGTCCCTGGCTGACCCCTCTGGGGGGCCTGTCCTGTCTCGCTTCTCCACTGTCCTCCCGTGTCCGGCGGCCCCCTCTGGCACCCTGACTGGTCTCTACCTCCCCTCGTTCTCGACGAACTTGGTGAGTGGTGCTGACCTCCAGGATGCGGGTGTCCACCAGTTCACCCCTGCTCGTCAGCGGGTGACCCACTGCACGGAGGCGGATACAGGTCGCCACCTGGCTACGTTTACACGTCGGCCAGGGTCGAGCCTGTACACACTGACCACTGCTTCTCCTCCAGGTGCTGAGTCTGGTAGGGTCACTTCGTCTGGTCAGGTGTTTGCTGCAGCGTCCAGGTCTGGTCCTGAGTCTGCCCCCTGCTCGTGCCGTCGTTTGTCTCACGAGACCCTCCTCTGGCACCACCGCCTTGGCCACCCCTCTCTGCTTCGGCTCAGAGGCATGGCCTCGCGAGTCCTTGTGTCTGGTCTTCCCCGGTCTCTCCCTCCCCTTCCTCCGGGCCCTGGCCCCACCTGTGTCCCCTGTGTCGAGGGGCGCCAGCGTGCTGCCCCTCACTCCTCCCAGTTTCCTCCGACAGAGGCCCCGTTGCAGACGCTTCACATGGATGTGTGGGGCCCAGCCCGCGTCCGTGGACAGGGTCAGGAGCGCTACTTCCTGCTGGTGGTTGACGACTACTCGCGTTACACCACAGTCTTCCCCTTACGCAGCAAGGGTGAGGTCACTGCGGTGTTGATCGACTGGATCCGCGCAGCTCGTCTCCAGCTTCGGAGGAGCTTTGGCTCTGACTTCCCTGTTTTGCGTCTGCACTCGGACAGAGGCGGAGAGTTCTCCTCTGGCCTCCTGAGTGCCTACTGTCGTGCGCGAGGCATCCGTCAGACCTTCACGCTTCCGGACTCACCGCAGCAGAATGGGATTGCTGAGCGCCGCATTGGCATGGTCATGGACGTCGCTCGTACGTCCATGATGCATGCGGCTGCTCCCCATTTTCTGTGGCCGTTTGCGGTCAGGTACGCTGCGCACCAGATCAACCTCCACCCCAGGGTCTCTCGACCGGAGACCTCCCCAGCCCTGCTGTGGACGGGGAAGGTTGGCGATGCGTCGGCGTTCCGGGTCTGGGGATCTCGGGCGTTTGTTCGCGACCTGTCTGCGGACAAGCTATCCCCTCGTGCTTCTCCCTGCGTCTTCCTGGGGTTCCCCCCCGACGCCCCTGGGTGGCAGTTTTACCACCCCACCTCTCGACGTGTTCTGTCCTCCCAGGACGTCACGTTCGACGAGTCGGTACCCTACTACCGCCTCTTCCCCTACCGCACTCCGTCCCTCCCCCCACCCCCGCTCTTCTTGGTACCAGGTCCCCCCCCGGTAGTCCCCCTCCCCCCTCAGGGTCCTGCCCCTTCAGGTGTGTCCCAGGTAGACGCGGTCGAGCCTGTCGAGGTCACTGGTGACTCTGGTGCTGCTGCGGGAGCTGAGCCTGGGGGTGCGGAGTCTGGGGGTGCTGAGCCTGGAGGTGCCGAGCCTGGGGGTGCTGAGCCTGGGGGTGCTGTGACTGGGGGTGCTGAGTCTGGAGGTGCCGAGTCTGGGGGTGCTGTGCCTGGGGGTGCTGAGCCTGGGGGTGCTGAGCCTGGGGTTGCTGAGCCTGGGGGTGCTGAGCCTGGGGGTGACGTGCCTGGGGGTGCTGTGTCTAGGGGTGCTGAGCCTGGAGGTGCTGTGCCTGGGGGTGCTTCGTCTCGCCGGGAGCCACTCTCCCCACACGAGCTGCGTGAGTGGTTTGCCGGGCGCTGGAGGCGTGCTGCTGGTGCTGGTGGTTCTTCGGCTGCAGAGGGTACTGCTGCTGCGCGCCCCGCCGGCGCTCGTACTGTGGGTGCTGGAGCTGCTGAGCCTGCGGGTTCTCCTGGAGCTGGTCCTGCTGAGGGTGTTGGTGCTGAGCCTGCCGTTGGCGGCCCGACTGACAGTGCTCCTGTTGCTGCGGCTGGAGGTTCTGGAGCTTCTGGTGGTGCTGCTGGAGGTGCTACTGGAGTGGGTGCTCCTGCCGGGGCTGCTGGTGCTGTTCCTGCTGTTTCTAGCGTCGCCGCGCGGCCCCGACCGTACTTCGTTCCGCTCCTGCAGCAGGTTCTTGGTCTTACACCTCCTCCTCCTCCCTTAGAGGGTCCGCAGCCTGTCCGGTCACAGCCACAGCTACAGCCTGCCTCCCCTTTGCCTGCTCCTCCTCCCTACGCTGGTCCGACTGGAGGTCTTACTGAGCGTCGTGAGCCTGCGTCTCGTCCTGTGTCGCCTGTTCGTACTGAGCGCGCTAGTGGTCGCGGGTCGCGTCAGCGTCCTCCTCCTGTCCCTGGCACGCACCGGATGTCACTGCGTCCGTCCACTGCTCCTCTGCGTGCCCCTTTGCCTTCTCCTCCTGCTTCCTCTCTTCCTGCTCTTGCCGACCCGGAGTCGGACTCTCTTCGTGCTGCCAGTCCTACTGTCACGCGTCTCCTTGCTACTGCTGTCACTGACCCTTCCTTCGAGTCGTCTGCTGCGTCTGCCCTTGTCACTGAGCTTGTCGACTTTGCTGCGCGCTGTCGTCTAGACTACGCTGCTCGTCTTGTCACTGAGTCTGAGTCCGCCTGTCCTCCGTCCGTCGGGGGTGAGTGTGCCCTTGGCACGGACGTCCTTGAGGACAGGCAGGAGGAGTTCCAGTGTCTGGCCGCCGCTTCACCTCGTCTCGCGTCTGTACTGCTAGCCCCTGAGGGAGACCCGGATGCACCAGACATCCCGACTCCGCGCTCTTACGCGGAGGCGATAGAGGGTCCCTACTCCTCTCAGTGGCAGGCAGCTATGGATGCAGAGATGGCTTCCTGGAAGTCCACAGGCACCTACGTTGACGCTGTTCCCCCTCCTGGGGCGAACATCGTCAGTGGCATGTGGATTTTCAGGGTGAAGCGGCCGCCGGGTTCTCCGCCTGTCTTCAAGGCGCGTTACGTGGCTCGTGGCTTCAGTCAGCGGCAGGGGGTTGACTACTTTCAGACCTTCTCCCCCACCCCGAAGATGACCACTCTTCGGGTTCTGCTACACGTTGCTGCTCACCGTGACTACGAGCTGCACTCTCTCGACTTCAGCACAGCTTTCTTGCAGGGCAGCCTGCACGAGGAGATCTGGCTGCGTCGCCCACCTGGCTTCACTGGGTCTTTCCCTCCTGGTACCCAGTGGAGTCTCCGGCGTCCAGTCTACGGTCTCCGCCAGGCACCACGTGAGTGGCACGACACACTGAGGACTACGCTCGCGGCACTTGGGTTTGCTCCTTCCACTGCCGACCCGTCGCTGTTTCTGCGCACCGACACCTCTCTGCCGCCGTTCTACATCCTCGTGTACGTCGACGACTTGGTCTTTGCCACAGCTGACACTGCTGGACTCGCCTACGTGAAGTCCGAGCTGCAGAAGAGACACACGTGCACTGACCTGGGTGAACTGCGCAGCTACCTTGGCTTGCAGATCACCCGGGACAGAGCACGCCGCACCATTACCCTGACTCAGTCACACATGGTGCAGCAGGTCCTTCAGCGCTTCGGCTTCACGTACTCCTCGCCTCAGGCCACTCCTCTGCCTACTCGCCACTCGCTCTCAGCTCTGCCTTCGGATGAGTCCGTAGAGTCGAGTGGCCCGTTTGCAGAGCTTGTTGGCTGCCTCATGTACCTGATGACCTGCACACGACCTGACCTCGCATACCCTCTTAGCATTCTCGCACGCTTTGTTGCTCCTGGGAGACACCGACCAGAGCACATGGCTGCAGCGAAGAGGGTGTTGCGCTACTTGTGCAGTACGTCGGGCATGGGGCTAGTGCTTGGAGGGCGCAGTCCAGTGGTCCTCACTGGGCACGCAGACGCTTCTTGGGCTGACGACCAGGCTACGCAGCGGTCGTCACAGGGTTACACCTTCAGCCTTGGTTCCGGCTCTGTCTCGTGGCGGGCTACCCGCTCGTCTTCTGTTCTCGGCTCCAGTTGTGAGGCTGAGATCTACGCTGGGGCTATGGCTGCACAGGAGTTACGCTGGCTCACCTACCTGCTGACCGACCTTGGAGAGCAGCCTCGTTCTCCTCCAGTCCTGTACGTAGACAACAAGGCCATGCTGGCCTTGTGTCGAGAGCAGCGACTGGAGCACAGAACGAAGCACATTGCTCTTCGCTACTTTCTTGCTCGTGAGCTACAGCAGCGTGGACAGCTGCGACTTGCGTACGTGGCCTCTGAGGCCAACACTGCTGATGTCTTCACCAAGGCACTTGCGCCTTGTGATCATCAGCGTTGCTGCACGCAGTTGGGTCTTGTGCCTGTCTTGCCTCACTTGCTCTCCTCTTGACCTTGCTTGTACTTTCGCATATATATACTCTTGTTCTTGTATATCTCTATATATGATCTTGCATGTGAACTGGCCTTGTGGCCTCTGAACTTGTGCTCGGAATGCGTGGTGACTTTGTGATCCACCCTGAGCTTTGCTTTGCTTTGCTTGACTGGTCTTGTGACCCCTTGTTCTCCCCCACTTTGCCTATGGGGGTGTGTCAGAACTTATAGCTTACTTGTTTCTGTAGGCTATAGTGGGGTATCCCATAGGGGGTACAACCCAATTAGGGTTTCCTATTTGTACTCACTTCGTTCATAGTCATTTCATTCTCGTTCTTTGTTTCCACAAGAAAGAGGGTTGAACTAGCAGGAATGAGGATACAAATAGCAAAACCCTAGAAGGGTTGTACTCGCTATAGAGCACCCCACTACAGGCTAGAACAATAAGATAATATTCTGACACACCCCCATAGCCAAAGTGGGGTGTAATCAGCAGAGCAGGCAAAGCAAAAACAAGCTCAGGGTGGATCACAATGTCACCACACATTCTGAGCACAAGTTCAAGAAGAAATAGTTTAGAGTTTACAATTATAAGCAAAGCTAGTGGTAGTCACAACGGGCAAGTGAGGAGGAGGAGGGAGAGTGAGGGGAGAGGAGACAGGAGGCGACGGCTGAAGCTGCAGACACACGGGCAACAGGAGGCAGACTGGCACAGCGGCTACCGGACAGCGCCCGGACTACAGGGGTAACAGGCCCCGCGGCTCAAATAGCGGCGGACGGGCAACGGACCCACGGGCGGCTGGCACAGCTGGCTACGACTGGGCTACCGGGACAGCGCCCCGGACTACAGGTGCTGCTGACGACAAACTGGCAACCTCCGCTCATCCTCCCGCACACAGTCCCACCCCCCTGATACACACCCACTGCTACACCACTAGCTCTACTCCCACGCACCCCCCTAAAACCCTAAACCCAGTCTCCCACACAACCACCCCCCTCAGCGACAGCTGCAGCAGTGGGAGACGAAGGAGGAGGAGGAGAAAGGGAGGAAGGCACACCGGCCACCCCCATACCCGCCACCCCACAGCTCGCCCCTCCCGTCGTCCGTCGTGGCGACCTGAGGGGGGCCGCTTGCGGCCCCCGAAGGAGCCGCGACGGGCGACGGGAAATGGGGGAAGGGGAGAAAGGGGGGGGGGGGCCCACCACGGACCTGAGGGGAGGGCGGGGCCGCGACAAGGGGCGGGGCCGCGACGAGCGGGGCGGGGCCGCGACGGTCGGGGTGGGACCGCGACGTAGGGTGGGGCCGCGACAGGTCGGGGCCGCGAAGGTAGGGCGGGGCCGCATAGGGTCCGGGGCGGGGCCGCGACGTAGGGCGGGGCCGCTTCGAGGGGCGGGGCCGCGACGCAGGGGCGGGGCCGCGACGAGGGGCGGGGCCGCGACGGTCGGGGCGGGGCCGCGACGGAGGGGCGGGACCGCAACAGGTAGGGCGGGGCCAAGCCGGGCAGGCGCACGGGCGGCGACGGGCCGGGGCGGGGCCGCGACGAAGGGCGGGGCCGAGCCGGGCAGGCGCACGGGCGGCGACGGGCCGGGGCGGGGCCGCGACGTAGAGGAGAAGCCCGCCGCGCGCCCCGGGGCGCACAGCGGGCAATGAACCGCCGCGCGCCTCGGGGCGCACGGCGGGCAGAAAACCGCCGCGCGCCTCGGGGCGCACGGCGGGATGAAAAAGTAGCAGCGGAAGCAAGGTGGGGACACACCCACAGGATCGATCCAAGGGGATCGACCTGCTCTGATAGCATGTCAAAATTAGAAGAAAGAAAGAGGGTTGAACTAGCAGGAATGAGGATACAAATAGCAAAACCCTAGAAGGGTTGTACTCGCTATAGAGCACCCCACTACAGGCTAGAACAATAAGATAATATTCTGACACACTGCATACACGTCAGCTCCAGCGGCGACTGCCCGTTTCATTGTTATGGCGTTGACGTGGACCGTCGATGACTCAGGCGACTGCCAGCGTGGTAGTTCGACCCAGTTACCACTACTTCGCACAGTGCAGCTGCCTGTCGTCCAGTCGATTCTCGGGTTGTAACGTCGCAACCAATCACGTCCTAGTAAAATGTCGTGCCCATCCAGTGTCGTCGCGAGCATTTCTTGTGTAAATCCGAAGTTCCCTCCGCAGCGAACCTTTACTCTCTCCACCTTCTCCCGTATGGCCAGCGGCGTGCCATCGACTAAGCGTGCATCAATCTCAGGTAAGCACCGGCTAAGTGTCAGTTGGAGTTTCCGTGCGGTCGCGGTATTAACTAAACTGTGGCTAGCTCCTCCGTCGATAAAAATCTTGACTGCTGCTCCCTGTATTTTCCCGTGGATCAGTACTGGGCAATCCGTCGCTGTACCCTCCTTATTCATCCGAGCCCGATCGATAGCGTGAATCGGTACTGTGACTCGGTGAGGGTCGGTGTGGTTGGGCGAGCAGGCAGTCTCGTCAGTAGTCGGCCCAATTTCTACTGACTGCTGGCGTTTCCCTGCCTCTGAGACTCCTTCCCTTGCTCTGCTCCGCGGCGCCTTAGCTCTTCTTGACACTCACTCTTACGATGGCCCGGCCTGTTGCAAGCAAAGCAGCGCCCCTTGAATGGTGCGGCAGCTGCATTCGTCGCAACGGCGTGTACGGTGGCGTGCTCGGTCGGTCCTCGAGGACGATGTCCGTAGTAGGACCCCGGTCTCGGACGGCGCAAAATGTTGATTTTCTCGGCGAGCGCGAGAATCTCGTTAAAATTCGAGAGTCCGCGTAGCATTATTTCCTGCGAGATTTCCGGCTTTAGCCCTTCGACGTAACGGTCCACCCGCTCCGCTTCGTGCATGTAGCCGACCTGCTCGCATAATGCGAGAAAACCGCTCGTGTAGTCTTGAACCGACCCGAGCTGGCGCCAAGTGCGCAGTTTCTGACGCGCCGAAATAGAAGCCGCGATCGGCTCGAAGCGCGCCCGAAGCCCTACGCACCACGCATCCCACGTGCTGTATTGGGGGGTTTCGCAGAACGAAATCCAGTTGACTGCTGGGCCCGCGGGCCCTTCCTCTTGCGACGGTGGCTCGTAGGCGCGTGGCGACGTCACGATGACTCGCCACCGGTCCATAGCGGGGCCCCTCAACAGCGAGACGGCGTATCGTATCTTCGCTGCGTCCGACTCGACGTAATTTGCGTCAAAAAACACGTTCATCGTGAAGATCCACGACTGAACCGTCGGACCACCACGCTGGCTCGGGTCGAAGCAGGGCGGGCGTTGCGGTTTGAGTGGCATCGGCGCCATGATTGCCTGATCGCCACGTGTTGCCGCAAACTCCACGTGCCGACGGGCTTCACGAGGCTCCCGTGGGCTTGGTGCGGCCCGGTTTCCTCCCATGCCAGGCATTGGCTGGGCGGCGCTGTCACTGGCTGCGCCTGAGCGCTGTCCCACACTGTCGTGCTGTGTTGGTGTGCCGGACGAGATGACAATCGGCTCGTCTGACTGTGCAGGTGCATTTTGTGACGCTGGAGCATTCGCCGCAGATTGCTGACGCGCGGAGTCACGTTCTGCCGTGAGCGTCGCAATCTCGAGTGCTGAATCTTCGACTTGACGGATCAGACGATCAAGCTGCTCCTGCGTTAACGTTGCGAGCGTGAATTCAGCCATGGCGGGGGTGTCGGGCAAGCTCAGCGAGAGCCTCTGTCGTGGCCGTGCGTGCTTACGAGAGAGCACTACGAGCGGCGGTGCTTGATCACTGAGAGACGTCTACCCCCCCCAAAAAATTGAGATAGTGGGGAAACGGAGGTGTAAATGCGGTCCGAGAAGAGATCGTAGGCTTTGATTACCAAGTGTTACGGGTGCAATGAAGTGAGCGGACGAATATTGCACTATCGAAGCAAGAGTACAGTGAGCGAAGGCATGAGCGAAGATTATATAGCGAAACTATACTGGTAACGGTAATGGACTGTGGTTGTCGCGCGACGGGCCTGGGACTGAGGTTGGGAAAAAGTGTCGAGGCGGAGGTCCGTGTCAAATGTTGTAGCCTGTAGTGAGGTTTGTCTTAGGGGGTACAGAAGTTAGGGTTTGTCATATGTACCCCAACCAACATCAATGCAACACTCATTCCTCATTTTGACATGGTATCAGCTAGGTTAGGATCCTGTGGGATCCCGTTCCTCCGTTCTCCGTTCGTACCTCCCGAGCCTGATCCTACCTCTCGTTCGTACCAGTTTCGTAGTTACCGCGCCTAGTACCGAGCCTAGCGTCATCTCCCCCGTCGCGTCACGCCTGTTCCCCCCCCGTCGCGTCACGCCCGTTCCCCCTGTCACGTCGCGCCCGTTCCCCCCGTCGCGTCGCGCCCGTTCCCCCCGTCGCGTCGCGCCCGTTCCCCCTGTCGCGTCGCGCCCGTTCCCCCCCGTCGCGTCGCGCCCGTTCCCCCCGTCGCGTCGCGCCTGCCTGTTACCCCCCCCCGTCCCGTCGCCCTGTCCCGTCGCGTCGCCCTGTCCCGTCGCCCTGTCCCGTCGCCCTGTCCCGTCGCGTCGCCCTGTCCCGTCGCGTCGCCCTGCCCTGTCCCGTCGCGTCGCCCTGCCCTGTCCCGTCGCCCTGTCCCGTCGCGTCGCCCTACCCCGTCGCGTCGCCCTGCCCTGTCCCGTCGCCCTGCTCCGTCGCGCCGCCCTGCCCCGTCGCGTCGCCCTGTCCCGTCGCGTCGCCCTGCCCCGTCGCGTCGCCCTGACCTTTCCCCCGTCGCGTCGCCCTCCCTAGGCCCTGGCCTGTCGCCCTTCCTAGGCCCTGGCCCGTCGCCCTACCCTAGGCCCTGGCCCGTTGCCCTACCCTACGTCTTGGCCCGTCGTCCTAGCCCACTCTTCCGCTGCGACTGAGTCCTCTTCCCCCCCCGGTTGTTACTCGCCTGTTCGTTCTCACTATGGCGACTCCGCGAGTTCTTCGTTTCGACGCCGACGGTAGACCCCTTGACTTTTCCGTCTGGCTTCTTCGCGCTCGTCGTCTGTTAGAGAGTCAGGTCCAGGGGGGCGAGACCCTCTGGTCACACGCTACTGGTGACCTCCCCGAGCCCCCCGAGCCTACAGCTTTAGGCCCTGCTCCTGACGATGCTGCTACGGCTCGCTTTGCCCGTCAGCGCGCTGACCGGACGGCTTGGACGTCGCGTGACGCTGCGGCCTGCATCGCACTCAGCAGCCTCCTCCCTGAGTCCGAGGAGGTCCACTTTACTCAGGTTCGCACCGCTG